CATCATGCTGATTATAACCCGCCCCCCGACTCCTTGATCATAGTTCACCTCGCGTCCCCTCTCATCCACTAAGATATTCCGTAACACATTACGTCGGCTGCCGCCAAGCCAGTCGTCAGGCATCGGCCTCGTCTGTCGCTACGCTCCTGTTCGGCATCTGATCTCTAATGATAGTTGCCTCCCCAGCCGCCGCGCTGCTGTTGTTGCTGCTGCTGCTGGTTGCCACTGTAGTAACCACTGCCGCCGAAGCCCTGTCCATATGACCCGTAGGGACTGTTTCCGTGCTGGTTGGTACCGGCGTTACCGCCCATGCCATATGCATTGCTGCCATGGAGGCCATGGCCTTGAAGATGGCTAGGATAACCGCCATACGCACCAACATTCTGAGGGGGCGGGAGACCGCTCTGAGCAGGCGGCGCGTTGGTAGCGGAACCGGGTCGAGCTCCACCCAGAGAGGGAGAAGGGCCAGAAGCGGCCTTGGGCTCACCAAATGGCTTCAGGTCATCAGCCGCGGCATTGCCGGGCTGCGCTGGGCTGTTGAACGACTGGCCTTGAGACGGGAAAGCAGAGCCTCCACGATTGAAGGTATCATGGACGCTGTTAAAAGCGCTCCCACCAAGGCCGGGCTGGCTGCCAGCCTGGGTTGTAGCCGCACGGCCATAATCGCCAAGACCAGAGCCCAAACCACTGTCTCGGTGAAGGGAAGACTGAGCAAATCCAGCAGGGGATGAGCTGTGATCATAGGGGGCATTGGGGGAGATGCCATAGGGCTGGCCATACATGCCGCCCTTACCGTAAGGGCCAAATCCGCCTTGGCCGTATCCAGAGTAGTATTGATGATAGTACGGGTTGCTGTAGTAGGGGTGGTTGTAGCCGGGATACTGCTGGCCGTGTGACTGGGGCTGAGATCCCTGGCCTGGCTGCTGCTGTTGCTGCTGGCCGGGCTGTTGAGGCTGCTGTTGCTGGGCCTGTGTAGTAGGGTTGGGTGTGCTGTTCCCGCTGTTCTGAGCATCCACAGCACTTCCGCCAAATCGGGGTTGGTTGTGCAGACCGCTCTGGGGGTATTGGCTCAGGTTATCAACCTGAGATGCCCCATAACCACCAAAAGGTCGCTGCTGAGACGCAGCGCCATCCTGCTGGCCCTGCCCTCCTTGCTGGCCAAACTGTTGGCCGTAGTAGTTGTAAGGGTTTCGGTCGGATTGGTTCGCAGTGTAGTAAGAGGAGTAATCGCTGGGTGCGGAACTGAAAGCGCCACCAGGCTGTTGCGCCTGGGAAGTCTGAGCAGCGAAGTTGTCGAAGGGAGGTTGAGTAGAGGGAGTGCTCTGTTGGTTAAAGGGATCCAGTGGCTTCTGGGGGACTCCAACTGTCTCCTGGACGCCAGCCTGGCCAAATCGACCGTATTGCTGAGCGCTAGCAGGACCTTGGCCAGGAATCTGAGCCTGCGCTTGCGCAGCTGGAGCTGGAAAATGTCAGCGTTTAAACAAGAGCAAACTTGAAGTCAATGGATAGCATACCGGTAGGAGCTGCGATAGGAGCAACTGTAGAAGTGGGCTTCTGTGCGAATGAATCGGGGACAGCCGCTTGAGTAGCGGGAGGAAGCGAGGTCCGAGGATGAGTGATAGGCGAGTCGGCGGGAGGTTGAGCTCTAGTCTCGGGCTCCTCTCGGTCGCCGTCAATATCTTCATCGCCATTCAGACTGAAGGCTCCGAATTGGACAGCAGCTCGGTCAACCTCTCGGTTGCCAGGCATACGCACAGCTTCTTCCTGGTCGAGGACACGGCGCTGATGGTGATGATGGCTGGGAGTACGGACGGTTCGCTCAGCTGTAGCTTTGGCAGCGGTGGCAGCGAATCCGCTGGGAGGGGCGGCATGCTGCTGTTGAGCAGCAGAGATAGGTGTAGCAGTAACACTTGCGGGGTTCTGTCGAGGGTCCCAAGAGTCAGCGGCGGTGCTTGCTACAGTACCAGTCGGAGGCGGTTTGGATTCGTCAACAACCTGTTCAAGATTTGATTCGGTAAGCTCGTCCTTGGAGGGGGGGAGAGCCACCTCGGGCTCTACATTAACGTGAGGAACTTCGGCGGGAGTAGCGGTATCGACAACGGGTGTAGTCTCATCAGCTTCGTCGACGGCGGGGGCAGGTACGTTTTCAGACTCAGGCTCGGGGACGACCTCAGCCTCGGGTTCGATAGGTTCGGGGGCAGATTCAGTTTCAGCGTGTTCGGCAGCTGGCTGAGGAGCAGCAGGAGCTTCTTTTGGCTTGGGCGGGGCCTTGGGAGGAGCGGACTGACGGAGCATGCTTGCCCAGGTCTTCACTGCAGGGGCAGCAGGCTTGGGTGCCTCTGTTGTCGCAGATGGGGCAGGTTGTTCAGCAATGGGCTGGTTCTCCTCTGAGGTCTCCTTCTTGGGTTCCTTAGTGCCCCAAGCAGATGACTCCTCTGTGGGAACAGACAAGGCTGAGCTGTCCTTGGTTCCAGCACCGTTGGTGGGAGCAACAGAGGGTCGGCCACGTGTGCTACGGCCTCCTCGATCTGTAGCTCGGCCTCGGCCACGACCCCCCTCAGATACAGCTCGGCCACCACGAGTGGCTCGGGGTCCAGTAGACGTCGCGTCGTTCGAAGATGCGGGAGCTTGGTCCTTAACCTTAGCTCGGGAAGCCTTCTTGGGCTTTGAAACCTCGCCCCATTGAGAGATTGTTCCTGAAGAGAGCATGTGTTAGCAGCAGAAACAGGCGGGTATCAGATCACGAGGGCAGTAGGGAGTTGATGCGCAGCTATCATCGAACAGATTGTACGTGTATAGCGTGGGCGCGAGGGGTGGACTGAGGTTGAGGTGGGTAAAGAGTGTAACATACCCTCAGCAATGCGGGTGACGGCTTCGTTCTCGTCGCCGTTCGTTTCCTGGAGAGCAAAAAGGACATCGGCCTCAGACCAGTCGGGGAACATCTCGCGAATCACCGAGGTCTTGTCGCCATATTGCTTTCGAAGCTCGCCAAAGTCTCCTTCATCTTCGAATGCACCTTGGGAATCAGCGGTGCTGTGGTCGGGCTTGTCGCCATTGGTTCGTCGGCCGCCGCGACCGGCGAAACCTCCTCTACCACCGCGGCCAGAGCCTCTGCCGCGCGAGGCGGACGTCCGTGAAGTCACTTCGGACATTAGATGGGTTGTGGTTGATTATGAGTTGGTGTGTGTGTGCGTGCGTGTTGTGCGGGAGGAGAGCTATGGAGGCTCAAACTCAAAGTGTGGAGAGGAAATCAATGGAAGGAAAAAGGAAGCGGCCTGTCAGCTGTCCTCTGCGGGAACAACAGGCAGGTTGAAGGACAAAGTCGACCGTGAATCCGTGGTCGACAGTTGAAGGCGTCGATGATGGATGGAGAAGAGAGGAAAGAGTTTATTGTGTTTTGGTTGGTGCTAGTCAAAGGGAGAGGAGGAGGAGACGGGACGAGGTTTTCCCCAGAAGCAAAGCAGAAGAAATGGAGCCTTGGGCTTGCGTTCACTTTCAGGGCACTCAGCACCACTCCGTAAGTCAGTGGCAGTGGAGGAGGTGGAGGTTACGAAGGTTTTGCCTCTAGCGGCTGGGTTACCACTGTGAGAACGCTTCAGGCCTCTTTTGGCCCCCTTGACAGACACATCTGTGCTATATCTCAGCCCTCTTACAGTGGCTCATTAGGTGCTCTCACGCTGTGCTGAACACCCTAACAAAAGCGTCCAAGGATCTAAAACATTCAATTCGTCCAATTGAAAACGTCCGACGTCGACACTTTGCCCTGGCCGGAAGCAGATCGACCTAACTATTGGAGACAGTTTGCTAGGTGGCGTCAGTACCTCAACGGCATGACCGTAAGTACTTGTACTTGCTGGATGCATAGCTGTCCTTTGCCGTTTCTGTGTCACTCGGTACCTCGAGAGTCAGAGCCTTGACCTTCCCTTGGTCGCTTAGCCCCAAGTTCAGCCAAGGATCTTGGAGTTTGGGGCTCGCCGTGTTCGGGCCCCTGCGAGGAAGCCCACACGAGCACGTAGCAAATAATCGGACTTGGACTGAAATGTTGGAGAAGGACGTCACATTCGCATTTCAGGGACAGGGACTTGCCTATCAGATGCTTCATGCGGAAAGTCAAGCATAACGACAATACATATTCCTAGAGGTGCGTTTTCCATCACCGCTCTTTTCTCAGGCGTGCCGAGTCTCAGTGAGACGCAATTGGCGGTTACACGCCGGTCAGATAATCAAGCGCCATGTCCTCAATACATTGCGAATGGTGGTTTGAGAATGCGGCACCTGAATATTCGGCTGTCAGCACTCACCCGTAAGCTGTGAGGCTCCTGTCAGGCACCCTCCCACAATATCACGTACCGGTACCTTCGACTGGCCGCATCTAGCGCTCAAAAGGAATGAGCTAGACCATCATCGAAGTCTCGATACACCAGACAGAGACCAATTTTCAGGCCAGGGGCTCTTGCAACACAAGCACGCTTAGCGCAGTCAGGCTGTGTCCACTCAAGCTCCCTCCACTCCTTGCTATGCATATCCGTCCGTAATTCATACTCACGTTCTGTGTTCATGCTAATGTGCCATGTATATCGCCCTCTATCGGACGTAAAGAGCACCATTAACCTGCTGTAACAGACCGCTCAAACCCAGAGTTTAGGTAATATCGATCTGTAACTGTATTTGATGAAGGTATAGCATGATGAGCAGTAGCTTCTTGGAAGCCAACCCTAGGAGCAGTGGCTTTCCCCATGTTTTGAATTGAGCCACCCGAGGCTGGAAACCCCTTACATCACATGATGCGTCCCAGCGGCCCGCTTTGTGGCGTAACTCGTTCAACGATGGCATCATGCTAGAATCAACTTTAGAACACATGACCGAAACCCATCAACACCGACCCTAGTCCACACTGCTTTCCCGACGACTCGTCGCATCCCTACATCCTTCTGGCATTCTTGAGGGCAGGGCTTGCCAGCAATACAACCGCCTACCAGACTCACTCTCTCTGGCCCGCCATGTTCACAACAAAGTCGGTTCAGTCACTCAAGAATCTGTTCGCATCCTATCACGAACCCCTACCCTTGTCTAAACAGCAATCTCAAAAGCTTCTGGACGGTCTCAAGAGTTCCTTTCGAAAACAGCTCGATCGTGAATATGGAGAGAGGCCCAATAGTCTATCACCGGCTGCTGCGAAACCTAGAAATGTTGATCCTGCCCGACTATCAGCTACAAACCGGCATTTGAATGATATCCTGTCGAACCCGCTGTTCAGCTACAACAAAGATGTCACATCGACGTTCCCTTCAAGCCTAGCATCGCCTTCTTTGGCTGCACCAACGCGTGATCCTATAGAGGTGTTTGACCATGCTGTAGCTCGAGGATTGATGACACCCAAGGCCGCCATCGGTGTGATGGTTGCTAAAGCAAAGCAACTGCAGGCGAATGAACCAGGTCTTGGGGGTCTAGCTACATCGGGTATGTCAGGTCGTATTATAAGATGGCTACGAGCTTGTGGTGCTGAGCAGGATCTACGATTTATGGACAATTATTCCTTTATCAGAGCGTTGTCTCCGTTCCTGGTGGCAGAAGGCATGGAAGAAATTGCTTGGGAATGGCTTGCGCGGACAATCAACAACACCTCTGGAGACCTGTCGAATGAAAAGCGTCTCAGGAGAGCATCCAACTTACTCGGGGAACTCGTCAAGACAAAGTGTCAGCCTCAATATGGCAACCTTGACTCAGGCATCTCTACTATGTTGCAAGCACAGCAACTTTTCCGGACCAGCCCACTACTATCGGATCTTCTAGTCTCGTCATGGAGGTCAGTCTCATGGCTCTCGACCGTCGAATCTTACAGTCGACCGGCTCCATCTGAAGAGCTTTTTGATGCTCATATTGCCACGGCCGATCGTCTGCCACAACCTTTTCTCTTGGAACGTGCTCATTTACACCTCTACCACCCCACACATCCTGATCACCTTCCTGCTCTAAAATTCTTCAAAGACAAGCAAAGACTACGAAAGCTAGTTAATACCGTTGAGCAGAAGTCGAAGCTAGGCCAGCTAAGCACTGTATCATGGCTCGCCTTCTTAGGCCACGACACAGTCACCCACTTGACTCAATCTGGAAGAACACAAGAAGCGCAGGGAGTTACGGAGCTACTGCGAGCAGAAGCAGCTGGCCTTTTCAACCATAAATCCGAACCCGCTCTTGGGTTGTGAGGAGTGAAAGAGTAAAGGCAAACATGGATCAGACTTTTGGGGCATTCAATATTTATCATGCACATATAACGGAATCGCAGCCGTATACTGGGAGTTAGTTATAATGATACCACGATGGAGTTTCATAGGCTATCACGCGAAAGCGTGTCAATTTGCATCAAGGAGGCTATTTATCAAGAAAGAATTTATTATCAAACAGATTTTCAGTCATTGCCGTGCTTTTTTTTATCCTGGTATCTATTGTTGCAACATAATGCAATTCCCAATCTCTATTCATATCGCTATTATTCAGAGTCACTCTCAGCTGCATCAGGTGAGAAGCCTTGGAACTCCTCCTCATCGTCATCATCATCTGGCGCGGCTCCTTCGCCAGCGTCTTCGTCGTCATCGTCCTCCTCCTCGATCTCAAAGGCACCAGAGATATCCCATCGGTCGCCCTTGGCGCTCTTGCTGACGTATTTGACGAACTTGAGAGCGCCGCTATCGCGCATAACAATGGTCATCTTGTTCCATGACGCAGCTTGGAAGAAGAGAATGTTGTCGTCATCATCGCCTGTCTTATATACGGCGGCATCTTCATCGGCATCATCATCACCGGACATGAAGATTTCTTGGCCGCCGACTTCAGGTATTTCCTCCTCCTCCCTCTTCTTTTTCTCTACAGCCTTGGCTTTGCCTTTTCCTTTGCCTTTTACATCCTCGCCGTTCTGATTTTCAGCTTCTTCCTCGGGATCTTCTTCTTCATCGTCACCCCAGCCAGATGTAGGTGTGAATCCGAGGTTGATCTCTACGCGCGCCTTGCCCTCGTGGCCAGTCGCGAGAGTATAGTCGAGACCACGGCGGAAACGGCGCGCGAGGAGATCGGCACTTTCGATTGTGGTTTTGGTGGCCATCTGGAGCCACTGGCGGAACTGACGGCTGGGCAGGAAGATGTCGAGAAGTTCAGTGATGGGAGATTCCTCCTGTGAGGTACGAAGCTGGTCAGGCCCGCTGGGCTGTTGGTAGAGATATCGCGCCTTGTGGGGAGGCTTGGCTACACGCCATGAAGTCGTCTTTTCTATCGTAGCAGTATCTTCTTGTACGGGTTTCTTCTCCTCAGCCTCGACGTAGTCCCTTAGGCGCTGGGCAAACTTCTTGCCCAAAATATCTGGCAAGGTGATTTCAAACATCTCGTTGAAGGTCTCGGAGATCTCTTCCAAGGCATCAGGAACCAAGTATGCTGGCGAGATGTACTTGAGCAGAAACTCAAGATCGGCTTCATCGAAGCCCTCCTGACTGGCCTTATCAACCTTCATAACCTGAGGCTGGGGCATATCGTACTGAGCAGGATTGCCCTGAAGTTGCATCAAGCCGCTGTTCTTGGCGTTTCTCTCCTCTTCTCCCTTGATGTAGCCGTCCTCTCCAATCTGGGGAATATGGAACCACCCACTGATAGCCATACGAATGCGACCACCGTCCCTCTCTAGCTGCTCCTTTGTTTCGGCGCGATAGACCTCCTCGACATCGTGGAAACTCTCTCCAGGCTGGACAGCGAAGAAGCTCAGCTGGTTCCACGCAGGCGGGATGACTTTTGTAACGTCAGGAAGCGGTGTCTTTGCTATCTCGCCCTCCTTGTCCTTGAGCTCCTGCACGGGGAACAGACGGAGCGCGCCACCCCATTCGGGCTTCCAGGGCGTGTCGGGGTCAACGAGGTAGAGGATATAGCTAACGCGCCGGCTACCAATGACGTCGTCATGGCAAAGGAGGTAGCAGCCAGGCGTATAGATGTTGATAGCCATGTCAGTCTTGCGACCGCTCAACGGGCCGCAATTTGTAATGTGAGAGACATAGTTGCGGAAGGCTTCGGAGTATATAGCATCGCGCAGCTTGAGCAGCGAAGGCAGCTTAGCTAGAGACTCGTCGTCGAGACCGTCGAGATTGGCCAGGTCGCCTGACTGGTGGATCTTGTAGATATCGGTCTCCTTGGGGGTGAACTCGACGTTGGCCTTGATCTCGCTGCGAACCGATCGAAGAAGGGAATCGTCTACAAGGCCGTTGATGACGGCATGCTTATAAGGTTCTGACTGAGCATATTGATCCGTATAAGAATCGAGGACCTTCTTTTCGAAAATACCAGCACGAAACCGTTTCTGAGCTTCCTCTGCGGTCAAAGCTGGAAAAGTCTGGTGAGTGGAAGGTCGCGAAAGAAGGATTGGGAGTGCTTACAAGGCTTGGACTTTTTCTTGTTGGCCTTGGAGGATCCAACAGCTGCTTCCGCTTTTCTCTTCATGATGCCAGCGCAATTGGTATGATTTCCAGAGGCTGTGCGAAGTGGGAGGGCTTTTGTAGATAAATTGAGTACCTTGGGTCGCGAAAGTTGTGCGAAGTCGCAGCGCAAAGAATGGGCTGACGTCGCCAATCTTTAAAATTTTGGCTCCGAAAATCGACCCATTCCAGGAAGCGTACCAATGTCTGAGTATGAGCCTGTCATGTACGGGTCGAGATGTAAGAGCAACAGGCCACAGAATTTAATTTAAATATCAATTGCATACCCTTCAGGTACTGTGAGTGTTTAGGTTTCTTTCAGTCGAATCTAAAATTATCTTTCATGTTTCAATTGTAGATAGTCAATCCCGCCGTTTATTGACCACCTCTTCCTCATGAGCCAGCCATGGGCGCTAAGGAGAGCAGCCATGATGATGGGCCGATGGTGGACCTTATCTGATTACTGGCTGGAGCCAGACATGATGCATAGAGGTTATGCATGGCTACCTATGCATGTACGCGCCGATTCAGCCCTCATCGAGTAAGAATTTCTGAGGATATTAAGCACGGTATACTATTTCGCGGCCCAAGACATTAGTAAAAGTCGTACTGGTCAATGTCTGAACACCTCATACGCTGTGGGTTGTAGCATCACCTTGCCAGAGAATCACATGAGACATCTTTATGCCTTACAGGCTAAAGCCTCTTTCAAATTCTTAACTTTGTTACAGAGGATATTTCACTTAATATAAAACTAAAACAGAAGGATGTTCTGGGTTAAACATTGGAGGTACGGGGAGTACAGAATGTGTCTTGAGACAGAATTTCAATTGATATAAATTTATAAACTATCACCAACAAGAACAGTCTCGCGGCGACTACATAGTAGTAGTACGGCTTTAAACTCCATAAATTTGCATGCATAGAACAGAAAATGACAATTTATTTACTTATTCCCAATTACAGCCCTCCTCTTGATGATAAAACAACTTTGAACGAATTACATGGTACCACTATTGTCCCTTACAGGGCAAAGAGCATAGCCATGACAACACCCAAGACACCAGCGGCGCCCTCACGCGCAGCAGCATTGCCGCTATCGCCACTGGCGCTGGCACTCGCGGGCGAGGTCTGGCTGCTACCAGCACTGGAAGTAGGAGTACCAGTTGCGCTGCCAGAGGCGGCGCTCTTGTCGCATGTAACCTCGTCGGGAAGGTTGGTCACTCCGGCGGTCGAGCAGATCTGCTTGGCGTACTTGACGGCGGTCTCCTTACCGGCGGCATCACACTTGTCCTCAAGACAACATGCGATGCCAGACAGGAAGTCCTTGTTGCTGCAGATGCACTTGACGTCGAGCTGTCCGCATCCCGCGACGCCGCCACCGGTGGTGTACTTGTCAACACATGGTTGCTATATAGACAGAAGAGATTAGCATCGTGGAATTGCGAGCGGTAACGTATCGAGTCCGGATATTCAGCCGGTGAGGGAGACTTTGCGACGTACAGCGCATTTAGGCAACTTCTCTTGCTGAGCGGCAACAAGGCCAGCCAGGAGGACGGATGTGAATACAGACAGCTTCATGATGAATACTCGGACAGTAAAGATATTGGAAATGGAATTGGAACTGAATGAATGTCAAGAAGAGAGAGTTATGCGGTTTCACGTACGCGCGTCGTAGATTTAAAAGAGACTCCTTAAGTGAGACAAGACAGTTTTACCCAGCTCTCACCAAAAGGCAAACGAGCTTACACAGAAGCTACGCCCATTATGTACTCTTGAGCACCCTGACCTAAGTTGTAACCATGCTAGCGGGCCTGTTCCCTCTCGTAATAAACGCTCACGGTCCCTAGAAGCGGCAAAATGTGTGAGCCGTATCCGTACTCTGTAAAATTCCACCAACTCTAATGATACATATGCAGATCACCAGCCAATCGCCACATTTCCACGTGTTCCAGACCATTTCGGCAGATTGCACGCATCGCTACGGAGTATCGCAGCGATGGAACCGCCTTATAATCGGGTGAAACGGCCCCGTGGGGACGATGATCAATACCCAAACATCTGCAATAATTTCAATTAAATTCAAACATGAACACGATGTATCGTTCTTGTTGTACTGTATGCTACATAAACAAACATCTGATATGTAATCAACAAGGATAGCAAAGTAGCTTGGTTTCAGAAAATGTGTCTCAATAGAAGCCACTCTAGGGGAGGAAAGAAAACACAGGACCATAATCCTAGATGACAAAAAGACTTAGGTAATGTAGCCTAAGATTAGGGTAGCTTTTGATGAGTTTATTTTGACACTGTATCTTAAGGTTCGCTGTTTTCTTGCCCCCCCGAGGGCCACTTCATATCAATAGAACTTAGTCTATTCCCGATCGTCAAGGCGTTTTTAGAGCATGCCAACCGTGGTGCCAGTACACCGAAAGGAGAAATTCATCATCAGATACCTGATTAATACCAAGGCTATGGGACACAAGAACGTCTCGATCATCTGGGAATGATTGGCAATCACTATTGATCCTCTAGTGTCTCAATTCATGCTTCTATCTTTGGGGTCCAGCCCGGTTATTCACAGCAAGTCTATCTCTGCTCAATAGACGCCTCCGCAAATAGTTCCTTACCTAGCCACCGCTATCAGAACTGCTATCATATCCTCTCTTCCGAGGTGTTAGATGCTCGGAAGGAACCTGGAGTGGCAGGTTGCATATCTGTATTTTGCATGACTGTCATATTAACCTACCCACTTTCAATGTGCTTTTGAAAGTATAATCCGGCTCTTGGGCGGTGCACCGCTCGTTGGGTCGGCATCAAACAAGGTTTGATGAAGCCAACGTCATGAGTAACACGTTAGACCTTGTCAATTTAGTCTCTTTTTCATACTCTTTTGCCCTGTTTGAGAAGATCCGAAACCTTAGGAGGAAGCACGAGCGCACTCCTGTCGTTTCTGCGAAAGAAGTCGACCAGCGAAACGGCTGTCTTCTCCGGCAAATCTTCGTGGATGAAGTGACCGGCCTCGGGGAACACTTGCAATGCATATTTCCCTGTCGGTCGGTCAGTACACAATGTTCAGAAAGCGGCATTAGTCCAACGGTTAACAAACCCTGCATTTGGCCGATGGTCAACTCGGTGTCCAGCCTGTCAGTACCAGCGAGCAGTAGGAGTTTTCCTCCCTTCGCCCCCAAGAACTTCTTGCTCAGCCCTATAAACCAACCTTCCCAGTATGGCTGTGTTGCACCCAAGTTGGTCCGCCATCGCCACGGCCTTGTCGGGTCGTCGTTCTCGTTAAAGACGAGTAGCGCAGGAACAGACGTCCGAGCAGAGATGGAGTTTCGTATCGTCCGAGATCGAATGTGCCATTCGATACCTGCTTGCAGAGTTGCGAAGCCCAGTGGTCTCGTAGACAAATAGGTGTGCATGCTTTGTAGAGCATCAATAGCGGAGCCTTCCACAACGTCCAACACAGCATACCCTAAAACTGACGTTCCTAGCCTACCGGACTTGGCCAGGTCAGTAACAACTGCTCCGCCTAAGGAGTGTCCCACGAGCACTATTGGGGGCATCTCTGGCCAGGCCATCTCACTCTTTGTGAGCTGCACCATGCAGAACAGATCCGAAGATAGAGTGTCCAGTCTCATGTCCAGTGCCTTGTCGCCCGGTGCATTTGTGGACCCGTGACCTCTACAGTCAATGGCCAGGATACCTGCTGTGGACAACCGCTTCTTTATTTCAGAAGCAACAACGGCGAACGACAACCCTGATGATCCGGCACCATGGTGCATCACAAACAATGGTCCTTTTCCGACCGGTGAAGTGAGGTAGGCATGGTAGACTACTTCCGGGTCCTGCTCTGACTTCAGAGACAATTCGCGCTCAAAATAGGTTGTCCAGGGAATCTGCTCCAGGGTCCTGCCGCGGGCGACTCTGTAGCCTGTCAGTCCCGCCATGTTTCACTTGATCAAAGTGCTGATTGGAAAGTACCCTTGAGGTCGAGCAAACAGCTTCTGGTTGGGCGATGGTATGATGGTTCCTGTCGAGGAGACGGATGAGGCGGACGAGGCTGAGGAAGAGTCATCGTCGACAGGCTCCGGCAACTCGGGGAGTACATCATTCTCGTGTTCCTCGTCGACCTCGTCAAATGTATCGTTAGATATGCTGTACTTGGCCTTGGCCCATGCTCGCTGCAGGTCGCTCATGATAGATACGATGTGTAGATGACGTAGGTTCCATTCGCAATGCCAATATGCGAAAACAGATGCGGACGGCACGAAACGCTCCTGGTGCTGACACTCGTGATAGCCTCTAGCTTTCTACGAGCCACGTCGCTTTTGATCAGCACAGTATGGGAGCCGCAGTGGTGTCCTCTGGTGTCTTTAGCAACTGGTGATGATGGTCGGGCAATACCCGAGTCAGCCAACCAGCACAATCCGAATCCATTTGCCTTTGCAAACACTGGGGCATAGTGTGTGCTTTTGGTTTGCACACTGTATATAAAGAGAAATCCACAGCTAATCTACAGTGCGGGTATTTGCATCATGTGGTTTCTAACCATTCTCTTATTTTCCTAATAAACCTCGTCATTAAGTTGGTATGTTGTCTTGCACCAATACAGTTCCTTTGCTTACCTGGGAGCGGCTTCTTTGTGGATGCAGACATGTCTCTTACTAAGGAAAGCCATTTCGACCGATCAGTGCTTAGTTGAGTCTCGAACAACAAGTTGACAACAATTTATATGCAACTTCGGCCATCCCTGGTATATCGTTTAATACGATAATGACTGATGGAGGTGTCATCGTGAAAAGCCCAAGCATCAATATTCCCACATCCCCATGCCCGATCAAGCCACTGTCAATTGGCATAGCTATCTCATCGATATAGGTAGTTTAAGCTTCTGGCCACGCTGTTCTCTGATAGGGCCACAAAGTTCTGGCTCGGCGCCTCGTCTAGATCTTAGGCTCAACCCATTTTAACTATAGCATCATATGGTTTCATTCTTTAGATCTTGAAAGGTCTGTCTGA